AAAAAGGCAGTCCTGAAACCAGCAAAATCAGGGAGCTGGACAGGGAACAGACTATATTTGTCATCAGTGTGGAAGGGATTGTCACTCTTGAATTGGCCTTCTCAGCCACATAAGACGCTGTTCCAAGTCCTCCATGCAGAGCATGTTACCATAGTCTCTCAAGACTGAAGGATGCCTAATCTAAGTTGACTCAGAGAAGCAGGGGCTCTCTATGGAATCAAGCCACGGACTTTTCCAGACCCGGCACAGGAAATCTTTAAAGGGGGGGATGCTGAAGTTGTACTCAGGGCCTTCTACTTGGTCAATGACTCAAATACAGCTCAAATTTGCATCTCCACACATGCCCCTTCCTGATGGTCATGTTTAAAAGAAGCAGTCACATTAATCTGTGCAGGCATATCAGACAAACAAAAAAGCAAGGGATAAAAAGTTTGTGGCACCTTAAAGACTCAGATGCCTTATACTTAAGTCCAACATTGTCAACATTTGACTAGTCTTAAGGCTTCAGGCAGGATTCTTCACCAGGGATGCTAGGGATACAGCGCATCGAACTAGCAACTTCCTCCAAGTGAAGCATATGGTCTATCCCTGATCTACGAACCCTTCCCAAAAACCATGATTAGAAACATTTTTTAAAAAGTCAGTTAAGATGCAGTTAGAAATATAATGGTAGAAGACAGATCCAGAACTTAAGCAGCTCAACCCGTTCTTATCAGTGAAATAGCTTACATGTCAGAGGCCAGCCTGAATAAGAAGGCTTTTGCTCGAAAAGGGTAACAATCTAAGAGGCAGGTGAGCATTTATGACAGGGTAAACATGTGTCAGTTTGAACAGAGAACTGTCCTTCTCTGAAACACTTAAAAGCCAAGTGTCTTTTGGAGTTTGTCCCCTGGTTGAAAAGATGACTGAAAAACAAAGTCTGATGCAAAAATAAAGAACTACAAGACGTTCAAGACCTCAAACTTGTCTGTTTGCAGCAAGCATCTGGACAGCAGACTTAAGAAGCACACAGGTTACCCGCTCACAGTCTGCCCAAGTTAGGTGAAAGGAGCCTGGTAGTGCAGTGGTTAAACTGCAGTACTGCAGTAAAGACTCTGCTCCTGATTTGTGTTTGATCCCAGCAGATAGCGATAGTGGGCTGAAGACTGACTCTGCTTTCCATCCTTTGGAGCCTGGGGAATCTAGTACCCAGCTCATGGGGGAAAGGGTGGGGAGATTAATGTGTAGCCTTTATAATTAAATTGTAAGCTACACCGAGAGTGTTTTAAGCATGATGTGGTGGTATATAAGCACACTTTGATATGGTTGTGCAATTCTATCTAAATTCCAGGAATCACTTCTAATTTTATACTGTACAGTTCAGAAACGCATGCATTTTTATGCCTACCAACATCCTCCTGCTTTCTTTTGCTTATGCATATCCTCTTTTTTAGATGACATGTTAAGCGGCCACCCTGTTCCCTTCAAACACTGCTTCAGAGTCAAAGTTGTCTTCAAGACATCCATGTCTCACATCCCCTCTAGATTTACCTCCAGTCTCCCCTGGAACAGTGTGGAAATTTCCAAGAGTAAATTAACCCTAGAACAATTGCTAGTCACCAAGGCAATTCTGCAATCTAGAAGCTATCAGTGGAAAGCTAAGCTACTACTGGCTGAAAAAGTCTAGTTTTATCCATCTGTCACCTGTGAAAGGAGAGAAAGCAGGAGAGAGAGAAGGCTCTTTGTGCTGTAATTGAGAATATATAGCACCTAGAGCAGTCCAAAGGAATAAAATCTTGGTGAATAGTTGATAAATGCTTTAGCACCTTTTATCATGTAAGAAGCTTGACCACTTATGAAATTATTTTCATACTCACTGTCAGACTCCACTGGTAGTCTGTCTGAAAATTGTCTTCTACTAAAAACACCTACTTTAAATTATTTTCCCTCTTACTTAGAAGAAAATCAGCATTCACTAATCGAGTGGAAAATATTAATGTACAGCAAATTCTTTGTTTTACAATGTATGCTCTTTTTTTAACGTCTTGTGTGAGCTACTTTTTAAGAAAATATATAGATAATATTTTAAGAGCCTCAGTTCAGCAAAGGAACACGCTAGAAACAGTTATTGCAAGGATCAGGTATTTGAGGAAGACCCAGCACCCATTTATTGTTTATTATATATAGTTTCACAAACTGAATAAAATCTTTTCAATAGTTTTTGAGGAACAATTGTATGAGATTTCCTCAACCCTGAAGAGAGGTTGGAGAAATGTTATTGGACATTGCAATACACTCCTGAAACTGAATTGGGTTATTGGGATGAACGAGCTTCAATGCACTTATTCTATAAACAAGACCTTGCCTCCGAAGTTTTCCTACAAATGTCAGAGTTCGGCTCAGGAATTTCCCTCTCCTTGTCCTTACTTGTACTGCGGCTTCACGCCACAGCCGGAGTTTAGAGGCTGACCCTAAATCGGCCGTCCGATTAGGATAACTGCTAAGACCCATAATAACAGATGACAGAAGGAATCAACCTGACCCAAATCCCAGCTTCACACCCATGCCTGGAGATCTTCCAGCCCAGCTGCCACAATACATCTGTTCCATTTCCCATCAGGCCCAAGGGAGATGGCCTAAGAGGAGATGAACCAGCAGTGAAAATGAATACAAAACCTCCAGCATGCAAGCAAGTCCTTGCAGACTTTGACCCATTGAAATTGGGGCTGCAGTTATTCTGCATCCCTCTTGCATCCCAGGCCCTTGTCTTTCATCTTCCAGGACTCCTAAATTTGGTCTCCCATTCAATGCCACTTAACCCACTTTAAAACTAATGCTCCAACTGTCTAGGCTTTTTTTGTGTGTGGGGGGGTGTTAAGCTACAGGCTAAAAATTTTCCTTTACACTTCATTCAAGAACTATGATAGCTGTCCTGCTTCCCCATTCCCTAAATGACTATTAACTATTGGGAAACTAAACAATTAGCCCATGAATAGCCAGGATTAGGGTAGGAGCTGTTTGCTTTAACCAACATTTGTTTTCTCTCTATCTCTCTGATCTATTATCATTCGCTCTGAAGTAGCATTTGATGGATATGGTTGTGTGGATAACCATTTGAGAAGACTGTGTCTGCAGGAGTGGGAGAACAGAAAATCAACACCTTCTACCAAAGATATAAAAAAATGACTTGGAAAAGGATTGAAAGTATGACAGCTGAGTCACAGTTATTTCAAAATCTGAAAGGAGACAGCCTTTTAAAAACTGTGTAGTCTCTCCCCTACCCCCACTCCCTTCTTGAGAATTTTTACACTAAACTTTAAAATCCAAGATGGAAAACCTTTCACCCTTAAGATATTCTGGATGGTAACTTCCAGAATTCTTTACCATTGGCCATGTTAGCTGGAGCTAATGGAAGGGCAACCCAATACAGCTGAAGGACCAAAGCTAGCATCCTGTCAGTTGTGCGCAACAGTTCAACTTCATCAGCATAAATTTGAGATGAATATTGTTGCAAGTTAAGAAGTGAGTATAGGCATTTGTTATTGCACCCCAATTGTCTGATGCAGTGCACAGCAGCAGAACCCATAATAAGACCTGTAATAAAAGAATAAGAACAACCCTATACTGAGTTCTTAAATCTGTAGCAATTCGCTGCTAAAATGCACAACCTTAGAATGGTAGAACTGAGGACTTATAAGGAACCAAGTTTAGACTAACTGCATGCCAATGGAGAAGAGTTACTAAAATTCATCTCATCTAACCCCATCAATGATTCTCATTTCTAAGTTATGTAAATAACTCAAAACATCTATTTTGGTTACATTATCTGCCAGACTAAAGTTCACTAACTACTGTAATAACAGCTTCAGCACACCATCTAGTCAACTGTTTCTTCCTCGTGGGTAGGGAATGGTGGGCTCTGGGGGTAGGCAACCATTTCTACCAGGCTGGCAACACTTTGAGAATGGGCCCCCAGGGCCAAAAGGCAGAGCTGGCCCCTGAGGACTATATGCTGTATTTTTCCGTGTACACGATTACTCAGTGTGTAAGAGGACCCCCACATTTCCAACCACAAATAAGAAAAGTGGGGGTGGTCTACTTTGTTCTTACTTCCGGTAAAGCAGCAATGAAAGGGCTGCACAATCACAGCCCTTTGATCATGCAGCCCTTTCATGGCTGTTTTACCCACTTCCTAAGTCCCCCGTGTATATGACGACCCTCAATTTTTACTCTAACTATACTGAAGTATCATCTTATACACAGAAAAATACGGTTCTTCCTTAAATAATTTGTGGGGTGGGGAGGCGGAAGCTACAGGCTTGAGTTTACAAGCGCTGAGCAAGGCTGTTCAGGACAGGACATTTTGGAGATGGCTCATTCATAGGGTCGCCATAAGTTGGAGGTGACTTGATAGCACACAACAACAACAGCTATCAGGTGAAGAGCTTACTGCGTTAATGCAACAAACATGTAAAAGATCTTCCGGGGATGAGATGCATCAGCGAAAACCAAGAAATAAGTGACCTGCCAGTAGCCTACCATATTAGACAGAGTATACAGCTTTTAAGCTTGTGGATCTATAAGCTTTTTCTCACTACAACCTTCAGTCCACCTTCTGGAGCTAGCTGAAGTGCAAAGAGGTGGCTCACATAGTCTGACAGAGAGTACAGTATTATGAGACAAATGGCCTTCAGACATTTTTTTTATTTTATTAATTGCATTTTTATCCTGCCCATTTAGTGACAGATCACTACTCTGGGCAGCTAACAGTAATAAAGTGAAATAATAACTTATACTCCTCAGCACAACCAAGCTTACAAAACCTTCTGCAAAGGACCCTAATCTGGTTTGTGTTCCCTCTATCTCTACAAGTATTCTTCCTCAACAACTACGGTAAATGTTAGGATATTTTTTTTGTTCCTGTGTTTTGCTACAGGCATTTAGAAATCCCTGCCAATCCACATCTCCAAGAAATATAGGATATCTCATGTTGCTTTCTCACAAAAATGACAACAAATTACCTTCTGAACTCAATAATGAGTAGGGCACTGGCTGTAGAGCCAGAGGTTGAGAGTTCGAATCCCCGCTGTGCCACCTTGACAAACGCTGGATTTGATGCTCCATAGGGTCCTTTCCAGCTCTGCAGTTCTAAGATGATGATGATGGAATACAGTTATAATGAATAGAGTTATATAACTCTATAGCGAACTATTTTTCTACTAACCACTAGATTAAATATAAGGATACCCGTGAAAATACAAAAGGTTATAATGTTAAAACACAGCTAAACAAATTACAGTATTGGAAGACATTTGAACTAAAAGCAATTAAAAACACATACACACCATTATAATGCAAAGCCTTTTCTGCCATTGCTAGAAGCCTATGAAATACAGTACTATTGTTCTGGAGTCAAAAGCTAGGACAATCAGGCATTCAGATAACATGCTTCCTAAAATGAATATATTCAATTTTATGCCTGTAAGAATTTATATATTCTGCAAAGAAAGTTCTCTCCCATAAAGGAGTTTAGATTGGGAGAAAGCTAAAGCCAGCTGGTCTTTTGCTGGCTGAACTGTACAATCATGGTTTTATTTAAAGTGAATAGCTCTGCTATATATACACATTAAATTATCTTTCCAATCTGAACATTCTGTAGTTAAGTTTGAACAGCAAACAAACCCTTCATTTCAGCACCTTTGATTAAGGTAACCATCAATTAATCATTAGAGCTACAAGAGCAGGATAGAATTTAGCTGACAGGCCCGGTCACAAGGCTATCTACCCACGAAACAGGAAACATGCATCTTTCCGGATCAAATTGCTGATAACCTTAGGGCATCATCTTCTCCAAATAAAAAAATATTTGGGAACATACACAATCAGATATAGGTCGACATCTCTCCCATCTTGCTAAAACCTTCCCTCCAGTCTGAAATTTTGCTGCATCCCCTCTGTTTTCTAAATCACAGCACAGCATCTGATGGTGGGGCAGGTCTTGAAGTGACTGAAAGCAAGGCCAAAAGTCACTCCCAGAAGCAGGACAACTAATATATTTTGCTACCCCTCTTTTCCCTTGCACTGTGCAAATACACCTTGTACCCATCCTGCTGGTTGGTTAGGGTGATAGAGGTTAGAAGTGTAGTGCCCCATCAGGTTAAAACTTGTGGCATGTTCAAACTTTAAGAGTCAACTGTAAGACCTAGACAGTGGTCTTCTAAATGTTCTGAACTTGTGCTCAGGAATCTTCAGCCAATGATTATGATGCTAGAGTTTCTAAATGCCTAACAGTTGTTGTTATTGTGTACCATCAAGTCGCCTCTGACTCATGGTAGCCCTATGAATGGGAACGCCCCAAAATGTCATGTCCCCAACAACCCTGCTCAGTGCTTGCAAAATCAAGTCTGTGGTTTCCTTTAGGGAATCAGTCCATCTCATATTTGGTTCTTCCTCTTTTCCTGCTTGACACACTTGTCTTTCTGGTAATCCAGGGAATTTATTTCAAATTAATAATTTTTTTCCTGTCAGCTTTCTTAGCTGTCCAGCTTTCACACCAGAGATGATGATCAGAAATATGTAGCATATATGTGAGTACAATTCACATATGTCTCATGCGCTGCTATAAAATACCTATGCATTTTTGTGCAATGTTCCAAACTATCTGACTCATGGTAGCCCTATGAATGGGAACGCCCCAAAATGTCATGTCCCCAACAACCCTGCTCAGTGCTTGCAAAATCAAGTCTGTGGTTTCCTTTAGGGAATCAGTCCATCTCATATTTGGTTCTTCCTCTTTTCCTGCTTGACACACTTGTCTTTCTGGTAATCCAGGGAATTTATTTCAAATTAATAATTTTTTTCCTGTCAGCTTTCTTAGCTGTCCAGCTTTCACACCAGAGATGATGATCAGAAATATATAGCATATATGTGAGTACAATTCACATATGTCTCATGCACTGCTATAAAATACCTATGCGTTTTTGTGCAATGTTCCAAACTATCTCAAGGACCGCGTCTCCCTTTATGAAGCTACTTGGGCATTAAGATTCATCGGGACAGGTCTTTCTCTCAGCTCCACCACCTTCACAGGTGCAATTGGTAGGGACACAGAAGAGGGCCTTCTCAGTTGCTGTTCCCAGATTCTGGAATACCCTCCCAAGCTGGCCCCGTTTTTGCGGACAGGTCTTTCTCTCAGCTCCACCACCTTCACAGGTGCAATTGGTAGGGACACAGAAGAGGGCCTTCTCAGTTGCTACTCCCAGATTCTGGCACACCCTCCCAAGGTGGCCCCGTTTTCACTGTTCTTCTGCAAGCAGGTGAAGACCTTCCTCTTCAGGAAGGCTTAAAATATTTTAAATAAATAAATAAAATAAAATTTAGAAGCCTAGCAAAAAGTGTCAGGGAAATGCCTAGAACCTGAACTAGGGCAGCATCCTAAACATCTATTCAAGTTTTATGTGGAATGGAGAGCATTACAAAAAAAGTCAGGGGGGAAAAAGAGTTCTACAGACAATTTAAGAACGTTTGAGGCATTTTCTAGCACCATCAGCTTTATCACAACAGTGTCAGAAGCCATGCCATGAAAAGATTTTTATGTTCTAGAATGTGTGTGTCTCTATTAAAATATATCCATGGGAACTTCCAGGGGTCAAGTACACCTCTGACACACATATGGAGACACCCACAGCTAAATCTATGTTTATCCATGCAAGATCAGATTTCTGGGTCCAGAAGCTCACCTCAAATGGAAACTTACCATAGCTTTTAACAGATTCCTAATCACTTATCAGGAGTATATTGTCTAAACAGAAGACCCATTCCTGTAAGTAGAAATGGATAGAGTGAGTGTCTACATTGTGGTTGTCAACAAAAATAAGCAAACAATGAAAAAACCTCTGGATTTAGAACATGTCCCCAACTTTCGCTTTTATATTTCATTCCCTATACTGTACAGTACCTTTGATGGCCCTCTGAAGGCATTGCACCTTAAGCATTACAAGCCCCAGACATCTGGGTTTATTTTAATTATTCCAAACCAAAGCAGTTCAAAAATGCAGAGGCAGAAAAAAAGGATAAAGGGAGGGGGAAAAAAACATCCAGTCAAGCCCATGATCAGATAAATGACCAGTTCCTGCTAGGCTGCAATTACCAAAGGAAGTGGTTAGAGAGTCCACTGTCTTTCTTGTTTAATTGGGCCAGAAATGATTACAGGATTTGTTGCAGTACAGATGACACCAACACGTGTGATTTTGGGCTAAGCAAAGCACAAAGCTTGTGTCTAACAAATTTCATATGCAGAACTTCTTCTGCTTCCCATTTACAATGCCATATCCAAGCATTTCCCTCAGGTTGACACCAGGGTCAAATACAGTTAGTTAATATGGCATAATGGACACAGTGACCAGAATCTGACTCCTGTTCCTTGCTAGAGTAGACCCACTGAACCAAAGGGATTTATACGTGTTGACCTGACATTCAGCATTTGATTCAACAGTCCTAATCTAGTTGGGATGGGTAATTGGGTTTATACCTTAGCTTGGCTAGGATCAAAGTGGGAAAAAAACCCCAACTTACATTAAACTAACTTGGTGATTACAAATTTGGTTTGTCTCACTGGGTTGTTTCGAGGAGAAAATGAGAGATCTTTGTGAGCTACCCTGAGCTCTTCTGGAAGAAGGCCAGGATAAACATCAAGAAAGCAATAAACAAATAAAAGACATCCACTAGTCTAATTATTACCCAGGTTGCTGCTAGTCATCATCCTTGGCTCCATTACCTCTAACCCTAAATCTGACAGATTACAGTACTTAACTTTCTACAGAACATGGAAAGTTAAAGATTGGGTTGTTGCTTTTCTCCTGTCTTCTTCTGATACTATATAAACTCAAACTTGGTGCAGCTGTAACCTTGCTAGGCTATGTTTAAAAGGAGTTTCTACTCCATCCAATGAATGGGATTAATTTTCACTGAGAGAAAATACCAAAAAAATTAGTAAAGCTGAGCAACCTATTCGAGTCATAATTAAGCCTAGTATCATCTCTCCTCTCTCTCGGGGCCAGTTCCCTGGATTACTGATCCATCTAGCCCAAAACTGTTGACACCAAGTAAAAGAATCTTTCCATGCTATCAGACTCAGAGCATAAGAATAGGGACTTTGCAAATCTATCATCCCTGCCCATTTATTGTCCAGCCTCATATTGAAACCTTTAATGAAGGAGAGTCTACAGCTTCTGATTTCTGTCTGCCATCAACCATTCTTAACATTATGCAACCTGTATGACTCTGCCAAAGGAAAACTGACCTGCTTTATTCATAGACTTGGGAGGGGGGGTTGTTAGGCAAAGTTTCCTTCCATCGCAACCTGCCTTTCCCCCACTCCCATTTTTTTCATTCAACAAAACAAAAATTCACATACAAAGCACGCCTAAAGTTGAATTGAAACCTGCAGTCTTCCAAGTTCCATTCTTCACTTGTACTCTTGCCTTGAAGAAGACACAGGATGCTGCTTGTTAATGTCCTGTTTTCCTTTAATTGCGTACCGTAAATCAGTTTCAGCATAGGGAGAATCTTCTCCAGGCTTCTTAGGTATAAAGTGAGCAAAGGCAGTTTTAACACTTCCTTCTTTTGCTGGCGCTCAGGGGTGGTGCAGCTTGCCAGAGACCACAGAGGTTAGCAGGGCACATAACCCCATCAGTTACATATGCTACAGGTGACCTCAGCTAGCCCCTCTCCAGGGTGGGTGGGGGTGAATTTGAACTCCTGACCGTTGGCTCCATCATAAAACACTTCCATCCACCAAGCTATACTGGCTCCTGAACTACGGCAGCTCATCTTTTCCTATGGTCCTCTTTAATAGAGGGCAAAATGACACTTTGTCTAGCTTCTTGGTACAAGGCTATACCACCAACCTGGGGTTCAGAAGCAAAGAACATGCAGGAGGATCCAGGTTTAAATTTTAAAGATCCATCAGAGGTTACAACAAAGATCTCTGCAGAAGACTCTCAGACACTATTATCAAGCAGAGCCCTGCAGGAGAGAGAATATAAAGTTCTCACTTTATATTGTTGGGCTGGGACTTTGATATTGTAATTTTTAATCTCCACTGACCCATGAAATTATCCTTGGTCGCTCCTTCTGCATCTCATTTGCTCTGTCTCTCCCTGATCTACCTTGGAGGGTTGTTGTATAGAGAATGCAGGGAAGAGGAGACACATGCTTGCAGCTTTGACGGGGGAGGCAAGGTATAAATATATATCCAATCAATAAACAGGATGTAGCCTAAGAGAGCTTTGTGTGCTGCCTACACAATCCAGAATGACTACAATACAGGAAAAATAAAAAAAAATATGCCAACCACACAACATGTTTTTTTTTTAAGGGAAGGAAAACAATTCAGTTCTGGATTGCAAACAATTTAGTGTTGGAAGAAATTATTTCCCAGAAGTTATCACACCCAATCATATAAGGCCTTTCCCAAAGATGGTCCAAAAAATGAGGCAATAAGCATTCCCCCTGCCGACATATAACATAATCCATGCTGTCTAACCAGTGCAGCATTGTGGCTACAAAACTGAACTAATGAGTCAGCAGCTCTCCAATCCAGACCTCACCTCTCTGGTTTCTTTGAGGTTAAGATGAACTATCAAACTACAGCACTCCACCTGCAATTTCATCCTCGTCATGCCACTCACTTACCAGACAAGGTAGTTTGTAAGGATGCAGGGACAATACAAAAGGGATTTCAGCCCTCTGATATATTATAGCAAAGGTAAGCATTATTTATCACATAAGCAGATCTTAAGAGAGAGCAGTCACATGAGTGTTTAAAAGTAAAAGCCCCTCTCAAAAGACCTATATAAGAATTCTGCACAGAAATGAAAGGAAGAACCAACCAACTATATATTAAAAAAAATACTGTTGCTTTAACATGCTTCTTTCTCTGATTCTCCTTTTCTCTCCGATTACAAAGCAGCTCACTGATTCACCCCCCCTTAAACTAAAAAAGCTTCCACAGAACAAAAGAGTTTCAATACCTGAGGCAAACAAAACAAGACAAAAGCTTTTTTTTTTCAAAGAGAGGTTGTGGATTGGCCGTAGTTCCTTCAAACATGCCCAGGAATTAGATACTGTACACCCATTGCATAAATTCCAGTTTACTTAATACAAAAGAGTTCCAACTTAGATTCAACATAGAATGTCATTATTCCACCCATCAGTGTACACTAATAGGATGGCAAAAGAAATAGTCACTCTCCTAGCTTAACAACCTGCACTACTCACATGATAGGAATAACCAGTTTAATTTAAGAGAACTTGAGGACATAGATCTATCGACCTTATGCCAAGTAGACTTGGGGTAAGAACTGTTTTGGTGTGTGTTCTTAAGAAACAAAATTGCTTATTTCTAAAAAATATATAAAACAACTCCTTCAACTTACAAACATGCTAGACAAGCCCTCCCAAACCACTCCAGAAATATCCACTCATAAAAACCCTATCAGGTGTTTTCACTTTATATTATTGGAAGTTGCAGGAGGGCCACCTCTTTTACCCAGCATCTAGTGCTGCTTTAAATATATATATATACAGCATATATTATTATCTCCTTTAGTTATTTTACAAAGAAAAGCACCTTTGGACATGTAAGTAGATTTTTTTAAAAAAATCCACTGCAGTGACATGCTAGGTACAAAGTAATTTATTTTCATAACTCTTCTTATGTATCTTTCCTTGGGTGATAAATCCTGTGGATTTTAAGGATCTATTCCCAACATAAAATACAGTGGTTTGTAGCTGCTCTAGACACAAGGTACAGCTAAAATTTTATTTGGCTTTCTGGTCTATTTTTCATTCTATTAGTCTATTTCATATTGCGGTGGCTGTCTATGATTCCCCCCCTCCCCCAATTTCCTTTTCCCAAAGAGAAGCACACAGAACAGTGTACAAATAAAAATACTTGTTCTATGTGTATCTTCCCAGGGACAGCATCAGAATGTTCTAAATAACCAGAAAGAAGGAACAGTTCCAGTAAATAACTACAAAAGTGGCCATGTTCCCTCTTCTATGGCAGGAAGATCAGCTCTGTATAGGTATTTGGAGTGGAGCTGTGTGTATTATTTATATTAATCTACAAAACTAAAGAAATCTCTGCCCCAGAAACATTGGTAGGAGAGCACTTACTAAAAATGCAATGGTTAACTTTCTCTACATTTGAGAATTATGTACTTTTAAAGATCCATTTATATCCTCCCTTTCCTCCAAGAGAATATATAACCTTCCTTTTTCTAACAACCATTCTGTGAGATAACTTAGGCTGAATGACTGAGTGAGCAGCCCAAGGTCTTAAATACCTGCCTCACTTTCAATAACACCTAGAAATGGCCAACTTTTTATAATACTACTTTATAGTTATAGCTCTATAGTTATGAAATTAATGAATTTACATTAGTGTCAGCTTTTGTGGACGAAATCCATAGAAAACATGCTGCAACACATGTGTTTGTTTTGTTTGAGGTATTGTTGAAACTAACACAGCTTTCTCTCTGAAAACTGCTAATTGCTACATTGAAAGGAGTTTATTACTTGACCTCTAAACATTTCTTAATCACATTGTTGCTGAAGCAGTGTTATGTGTATCCCATTCCCCTTTTAAGTGCTTGTGGGACCTGGGATGAGGCAACAATGCTGGGAAAAGGCAGCAGGAGAAGAGGAACACCAAATCTGAGATGGATTGACTCCTTAAATGAAGTCACAGCCCTATGTCTGTAAGAGCTGAGCGGGGTCATTCATGAAAGGACATTGTGGACGCCCCTTATTCATAGGGTTGGCAAAAGTTGGAGGTGCCTTAATGGCTTATACTGTAACAGGAATGGGGGTGGCTAGATTGCCCCTAGAGATTTCCTCATTTACTGTATTTATAGGCTACTTCTCCTACAAGACGGTGTGTGAGCCTATATATTCTCTTCCTCCCTACTTTGTTTGCACAACAACCTTGCAGGGTAGATAAAACTGAAAGAAAAATAACCTGGAGAATTTCCTCACGTGGCGGGCTTCACTCTGGCTCCCCCAAAGTCCCACTTTGTCGTTCCAGCCTCTGGACTACACCGGATACCGAGTCCCGCCTGCATAGACCCAAAGAGGGGGAAATGGAGCCCTTTGCTCTGCTCCAGCCATTATTTTAAGCACCTCCTTCCTGGACCCCAGCCTCCCTTTTGCTTGAGAAAGGAAGAGGAACTAAAGAGTGTCATGTCTTCACACACTGGTTGGTACTGTATTTCCTTTTCCCAAGCCTGTCATGGAGGGGGGGGGTCCCCTTCCCAACGCTCTCCCTCCCTCACCCCATTATTTGCAACTAGGTGAATTGCTTCCCTTTTTAAATTCTTGGGGTGCTCCTTTTGGGTCTCCCCTGCCTCCACGTCCACCCTCAAGGCCCCCCCCCAAACCAGTACCTTGAGCCTCCTTTCCCCTTGGGTAGGGCAAGGTGTGCTCACAGGTCTCCTCAAAAGTAAGTAAAGGACTTGGCACAAGTAGTTTAGGGGAATGCCACTAGTTAGAGACACCCCCACACACCCCCACTGACCCTTCTCTCCCTCACAGAAATGGGGCTGGGTGGGTTTCCTTTTAGTTTTCCCCTCGCCCTCAGTCAACGAGCCCTTGTGTGTGGGGTTTTTTGGGGGGGGGAAGACAGAAGAGCCTCGTCAGGCTGAGTCCCCGTTTGCCCCTTCCCGCCTCAATTGGGGGGGGGCGTTCGTGTTCCAATTAACCCTTTCCACCCTCACCCCTCATGAGAGAAAGAGGGTGTGTGTGTGTTCGTTCCTATTAACTCCTTTCCCCCCCATCCCCTTGTGTCGACGGCCATGAGAGAAAGGGGGGGGGAGAAAGTGTGTGTGTGTGTTTGTGTGCCTTCCAATTACCCCTTTCCTCACATCCTCCCTGTGTCGAGGGCTATAAGAGAAACAGAGGGGGGGAATGTGTGTGTGTGTGTGTTTTCCAATTACCCCCTTCTCCCCCACACACCTCCCTTGTGTGGACAGCCATGAGAGAAAA